TAATAATAATTATTACTATAATATATCTGTTAAATTAAAATTGATGTATTAATTTTATTAAGTTGATAGTTGAGTGAAAGGGAGAGAGGCAGATCAACAAAGGTTAATAATAACAGATCAGTCACACAGACTGTCAGATACTTGATCCTATATCAATATATCAATCAATGATCACTTATGGACTTATGAACTGAACTTCTCATAAAGATCAATGCTTTATATACGGTTGCCAATCGATTGCCTATAAATTGTAGCACACACTCTGTAACACTTACATAGTCCTTCGATTCGCGTTATTTTGTTATCAGTATCCATCTCGTAGAGGACCAGCTCGCAGGCGAGCATCATGAAGAGGAGATCGCGCACAGCGCCGTGGCCATTGATCTTGAAGGGTCTCAGGTAGCAGATGAGGCCACCATTAATTAGGACCACGGCAATCGCATTGGATAGGGTAATGTTGAACAGCGGCGACTCCTGCATGACGGGCGTCAGGTTGATGATCAGCTCCGGCAGGTGATTGCCGAAGCAGAGTAGAGTAATGCCCGCCAGATATTGGTTCATGTGCATCACGATCGAGACGATCTTCAGCAAAGGCGCAATGCTAAGGGGGGAGGGGATGGGATGGAGTGAATCTTACTACAAAGTCCTGACTTACTATTTGTCCACCAAGTGGGCCACCGCCAGCATCAGCAGGCCCATTATGACGATGGAGGCGCACATTACAGCAACCTCAGTGCTTCGCGTCTCGATGTTCATTTGGCAGTACATAATCCTGAAGTAGTCGATGCACTGCATCACCTGGATGCAATGCTTTATGGCCTTGGACAGGAAGCAGCGATGCGAGAAGTCCACGTACATCAGACTATTACAGCGCATCTTGGAGGATTGAACTCAGTTTCAGTACAGATTCGATTGCAAGCAAATTTCTTACAGTTTCAGTCTTACGCTTTCCCTCTCTTTCTTTCTACTCACCGATTTGTAGACATCCTCGATTGAGAAAGTCACATTCATGTTGATTGTCTTTTATGTGCCAGTGTATTGGTATGCAACTAGCTAAAAGTATGTACATATATTTATATATGTGTATAAACATAAATATGTTTATTGTATATGTTATGTATTAAATTGACATATATATATATGTATGTATGTATATTATAAATTATTGTCTCGAAGGTAACTAGATATGTATGTATATAGGTATATGTATATATGTATGTATATGCGAACAAAATATATAGAATTTTTTATATATGGATTTGAAATATCAGAGTGAAAATTATATATTT